TGCTCTTGCTCTTGCAGCACGCCCCGATGCGAAAAACACAGAGATCGCGCCTCTCCCTGAATTTGTCAGTCATCTTATTCCATGTTTATATGTACTGAGCTGGCATGTAGACAGAGCCTTGTATATCCTGCCTGAACATCAGAAGCCTGCTTCCCATTAATTGAATTTGGAATGTGGGTGAGCTTAATACTTTCATTCTGCTGTCCTACACCTATATTTTATATCTTTATTTATTGGTTATGTAAACTGAATATTTCTTTTACTAAGCACACTAGGCTAGATTTTAATTCTCAACATTTTCAAAATGCAATGTAACTCTTATCAATTTACGCTGCATGAATTTGCATTACAAGGCATTCTGGAGCCTCATTATCTTATCCCAGACTCAACAAACAACAAATGGAAATATTTTGAAAGGGAAGAAAATCAATAATGAATCGTAATACAGCAGGCATATCACAGCATTCAGAACAGCCAGAATTCTAGAACAGTGCTAGTTGAAACAGCCAAGTTTTGTTCCACTTTGAGAATAGCTTTCCTCTGCATTCTTTAGCACATACACATTTAGAAGAAGCAGTCGTTTTTTTCTCCCATTGCACTTTATAGCTGCAGAAACAGCAAAAGAAATGTATGCTGCTTCTACTGCTTTCTCAGTGCAGTTCAGAGTAATATTTACATTGTTTGTTACATAATAGTCCTTTTCTTTCATTTACAGGTAGTCCTCAGTTAATCGCCATTCATTCAGTGACTGTTCAAGATTACATTGAATGAATTCTACTTATACCTGGTCCCTCAAATTATGGCCACTGCAGCTCCCCCATGATCACATAATAAAAATTTGGGTGTTTGACAGCCCCCTACACTTACAACTTCAAGTCTCCCCATCCACCTATCTCCTCCCCCTCCCCCCCAAAAAAATCTCTGTCCTTGTGGCCACTCTGCTCACTGGCATTCCTCAGTGATCCTGGTACTAAGACCGAAGTAGAAGCCCAGGACCTTCAGCAGTCTCAGCCAGCCAAGAGATTAATGTCACGTAGGGCAGGGAGCTTTACTGATACCAAGGGGAATGTCAAAGACACATTGCCTCTTTCTACCCTAGAATCTCAGTAGTAATTATAACTAATTCAGATTGCATTTTTATAAGTATGAAGTTAAGATGTTCTTCAGTTAGTATTAGTTTGCACTTATTCTGATCTGTTGCCCTCCTCTCAATTACAGGGCTTAATATTTGGTGGAGCCTAAATATAATTTCTACTATTGTTGAAAAATATTCACCAATTGATTAATGTTGCTAAAGCAAAATACATGGCATGGTTCACCATGCTCTTAAATTGTTAGAGGAAGCATCTTTATCCTTGGTGATAAAAGAGCATGTGGCTTAATTTGCTTCATTTTGTCCATTATTAAACAGAATGTTTGGAGGCTTATTACTGGAAGGCCAGGGGCATTGGACAAAAGGTTTTATGTGCTGTAGTTTTGAAGATGTGTCTCAATGATCAGAGAATTAGTGAGATGTAATTGGGAGTTGAATTAAAACTGGGGAAAGAGATTTAGGTTTACCCCTCAGCTAGGGTTGCTTCATGGGCAGCTTTGAGTGAATCAGTCCCTCTCAGCCAACGTACTTGTAGGATTTTGTTTTGGGAGAAAATGGACAGAGGTAGTAATATCTCTACTGTTGTGAACTCCTGGAAACAAGTCAGTATATAAATTATTTGAACACACAAAATTTCTATTGTAGACTGAATTTAACTTAAAATTGCATGCTGGATTATATGGGATAGGTTATTGGTCTATCTAACCTTTTTTATTGACATTGATTGGCAGACACTTCCCTTCTTTCAGGTTTTCTTTTATGTCCTGGATTAAATTTGAAATCTTCGACTGTAATATGTGCTTTATCATTGGCGACAATGTCTTAATTTAAACCTGTAGCTGCTGGTGAAATCTGCAGGGAAAATGGCTAGAGGCCTCTTAAGGAAGCCCTCTCTGTGTCTTTGTACCCTTGTTTATTTACTACTTTTTGGGACAACAGTTCAGTACTCCCTGTTACTATCTACTTATTAAATCTATTTTCTTTGAGAGGTAGGTCTTTTATGCCCTTTGCTATTATTCTGGAAATTTAAAAAGTCATAATGCAAAAAATTGAAATAATTTCAGTGGTGCCTCCTCTTGACTCTGAAGCTTAGAAGCACAGGGACAGGATTTACTCTTAAGCGAGTTTCACAGAGCATAAACAAAATCAAAACTTTTTAAAAGAAAAGTAAGAGGTAAATAAAACAAAAAACTTTGAGTAATAAGATATAAACATTCATTGTTGAAATAAATTGCAGAACTGTCCAGTTCAAGTTATATAGAAATGGGTAAATTGTTAAAAAGGAAAAATATAAAATACACATGGTACTCTTCTATTAAAAGTAGAGGCCTCTACACCCAAAGTTTCCAGAAAAAGACGAGCAAAGTTACATATTATTGTTATGGATCACAAGAATTTCCAAAAGCATGTATCTTCAGCAGACAGCCTGAAATATAGATAAAAGGTCAAAGATTTCCAGATTTCATACCCTATATGAAATTGTGACACCTTGGACCAGGCAAATAAATAAATAAATACATAAACAGAAACAAATGCCTGGCTTGAGATTTTTGCTATTTACTATAGAAATAGCAGGTTTCTGAAGCGAATGTGTTTCTACCTCAGTTTCCTAGACTTTTCCAGCTTCTTGCAAATACAAACTGTTACTCAGAGATTGATGAAGAGATGGAAAACCTTGCTCTTTTCCAGCCACAGTCCACAGACTTCTGGTGAGTTCTTTGTTGTAAAAGGATCAACCTTTTGTATTTATAGCAGAGGGAGGGACTCAGGTAATCTGACTCTGCACATAATTAAGAGCCATGTGTCACTTATGGTGGGAGGGGGGTGTTAATACGCTCACTCTGACAAGCAAGTTACAATCACAACAGCTACATTCCAAGTATGAAAGACTAGAATCCTTCAGTTAAATAGTTTTGTATCTTTTATAAAAACTTCTGTACACATTTTGGTAACATATGGGCAGCAATATTGGCTCACAAGGCAGAGAGTAGTATAACTATATGATGTGCTGGTCAAAATATTAAAAATTGATGTTTAATATTTTCAAAGAGTGCTGTATGTATGAATACAGCAAATAATTTGGAAGGTTACATGTTCTTTATCTCAGTAAAATATATTAACTAAAAGTCTTGATTGACCCAAATTATGGGTGTGAAAGAACTGCTGGCCTGTCTAGTAGTAGACACACACATGGAAGATTGAAACTTGGAATGTAAGAAAAATAAATGGAAATGGTTATGGATTACTAAAGTCTGGTATATGAAACAAAAAACTATTGAAAATAAATACTATTATAAAAACTATTGTAATAAATATTAAAATATTCTGATTTTGTGGAATGGAGTTGATTAATGCATATAGGGAAGTGAAAGATATATTTAATTATGAATGAGAAGACTAAAATGTCAGAACATATGATTGCTATCAGTTAGATTTGGGTCTCTATGAAAATAGGAATTTATAGGTTGCATATTTTTATGGGAGTGTAAATAATAATGGAAGAACCAGAACTCAGTTTTGGTAAAAATTGTGCAACAATTTGTTTTCGGGGGGTGTTGTACAACATACCATATTTTTCGCAGTATAAGACGCTCCGGAGTATAAGACGCAACAATATTTTGAAGAGGAAAATAAAAAAAAAGTTTTTGCACTCTGCAAACCTCCCAAAACCAGTCTGTTTTTCATGAAAATGGGCCTGTTCCCCTCCCCCCTCCCAAGGCATGAATAGCCTTTCGGTGGGGCGCAAAAATGAGTAAAAAATGACCTGTTTTTCACAAAAACGGTCCCATTTTTCATACAAAAAGGGGCATGGATAGTCTTTAGGAAGCTTATAGAGTGCTCCTGGGGGCTGGGGGGGATTTATAAATTGAGTAAAAAACTGTTTTTTGCTCATTTCTGTCCTCCCCAGCCCCCAGGACCTCTCTAAAAGCTTCCTAGACGCTCTGCAGGGCCATTTTAGTGAAGGAGGTGGGGTTTTGGGAAGCCAAAAATCCTATAATCTGTGTATAAGACGTACCCAGATTTTCAGCTTCTTTTTTGAGGAAAAAAAGTGTGTCTTATACTCTGAAAAATATGGTAGGTTGTCCTCAACCTATGACCACAATTGAGGCCAAAATTTTTGTTGCTAAAGGAGACATTTGTTAAGTGAATGTTGCCCCATTTTACAGCTTTTCTTGCCACAGTTGTTAAGTGAATCACTGCAGGTGTTAAGTTAGTGACATGGTTGTTAAATGAATCTGGCTTCTCCCTTTGACTTTGCTTGTCAGAAGCAAAGAGTGTTAACATGACTTTGGAACATTGCAATCGTAATAAATATGAGTCAGTTGCCAAGCGTCTGGATTTTGACCATGTGACCATCAGGAAGCTGCAGGGGTTGTAAGTCTGAAAAATGGTCATAAGTCACTCTTTTCAGTGCCATTATAACTTCAAATGGTCACTAAACAAACTGTTGTATGTCAAGGATTACCTATTCATTTTCCTATCCTCATTCAAGATATACAACATCATGTGAATCTTTGAAAAGGCATAGGATTTACAAAAACATTAAAGGCTTAAAATCAGAAAAAGAAAAGGAAACATAGTTAAAGCTAGTTTATTCCTGTTCCATTTACTTTGATTTTCTTATTTTCAGGTTATGCCAGTCTAGAACATAACATGCATACATTGTTCTGGGCATAGAGCAGATAGTTTTTGGTGGTTCTCTATTTGGACTGAAATGCATATTCTGGGTAGATATCTTTCCAGTAAAGGGAGTAATACTGGTAAGGGGGGGGGGGAAGTGAGCACATATGGGAGAGGAATGGAAAGAGTGCAAGATTTACCAACATTGCCCAGTCAACAAATGTGCAATAATGTTTTATTCTGAAATTCATATATGCATGAGGTATGAACATCAACTTGAGTACAAAGATATTGTGTAACAAGAGGGAAGAATGAAACAAATTAAGTGGAGAGAAAAGTGATCAGGAGATTAAGAGAGCCAGAAAGGAGTACAAAGGATAATTCTTTGATGGACATTAGATTTTTATTTTTAAATCTCCATTTTGAGTATGTGAACTAAGCAAAAGGCGTTTCATGTATACACAAGGAAACAAATGAACATAATGTGATCTTCTTTTTACGATGAACAATTTAGAGAATTGGTAAAGGATAGACAGGTATTGAGGGTTCCAAATTTAGGAAATCCATTAGTTGATCGCAAGCGTAGAGTGAATATTAGACATGAATATTCAAGTTCTATTTTTTTTAAGCATTTGCTACAGCAGAATAATAACCACTTAGATCATGGCTTTAAGAGAGCAGATTTCTACTAGTAGTTATTAGTACATCATGGCATTTCCTGCAACATTAAAGGTCAGTGTGCCACTGAATAATAGAGATAAACACTAGGGAAAGTCTTATATTCCTATTCTGCTTGTGAATTTAATATATTTTATGTGTTTATATAAGCCCATCTGTGTATAAACTGATTTTTGATTTTAAAAAAATCATAAAAATGTGTCATCTGTAGATAAACCAACCTCAAAAGTTGTATTTTAATTTTCATAATTGGTTTATCCATGGGTGGCAAATGCTTATTCATAGACAGGATTAATTATGAGTATACATAGGATGTATGGATAGTTTAAGAACATATTATATATACTCATAGATAAAAGCCCAGCTGTGAATAATTCTAGCCCAAATTTTCGATATATTTTGTTGCCTACAATTCTCAGATTATTAAGCATGTGGCAGGCTTTTCTTTCTTACCCTCTTTTATAGGGGCATTCTCTATCTTCTCATCTATGTAGAAATAGGTAGAAAATTTTTGTTATCTCCACTTCTCCAGATTATTGGATTCACAGTTAATCGTTCCTCCTTATTTGTGAGATTAATATGACATAGAACCAAGCTACATTTGAAAACTGTAGTTAATACATTAATAAGAATTAATACATGAGTGAGATAAAAAATATGTTTTAACATCTTGGTATTTGCCATGTTAAATGCAGATATTTATTGATTTTACCAAGGGGGAAAAAGAAGAATATAATGTGAGTATAATTTTTGCCCTAATATGTTGTGGAATAAAATTGATACTGAATCAGAAAATATAACCTATCATGGTATTATCCAGAATCAGTTAATATAAAATGCAGTTGTAAACAAGCAAATATATTTGAAGTTGATAGAGATTAATGCATTAAATGTGTATGGCAGTTCACTTTGGGGAAAAGGGTATAGAATTATATCTTTGAATATTCTAATGAATGTGATTTTAAAACACTGAAATTTTGCAGGGTTTTAAAATTAGACTGTCATAGGTGGTGTACGTGACATGTATTTTGATAGAATTGTGTGTGTGTGTGTGTGTATCTCTTTATCTCATGGTGGCATAGGGGAGTTGGAAGTAGATATAAGACAGGCAACCATGGCTCCTGTTGCTAGGAAGCCTTTTACGTAGAACATTTTATGGCATGTTTTTATTTAGTTAGTATCTACACAGCTTACTTGCTACATGATAAATAAGGACAATTATATACTCAAAAAAATATTTGCCGACAGTTAGATTACAGAGATTTAATTCAACAGCATTTTTAGAACTGCATTGTTTTTACAGGACTAAACCCTGAATTTGAATCCAATAGAGCTTGAATCTTGAGAAAAATGTTCAGTATGCAAAGTAATAATTTCAACATAATATTAGTATTGTTCATTTCTATGGAGGAAAGATCATACTAGTAATTTGTTTATATTTTCAAGAATGTTTGAATAGTTTCTGAACTTCTTTAACAATGAATTTGCGGAGCTGGCAATTACTGGTAGTCTTTGACTCGCAACCACAATTTGGTCCAGAATTTCAATTCTAACTTGGTGCAGTTTAAAGCAAGCCATCATGTGACTAGACCCAATTTTAGAACCATTTTTACCATGGTCTTTAGGGTTATCACTGCAGTTGTTAAATAAAACCTCATGATCCATAAGTGAATCTGGCTTCCCCAGTTGATTTTCCTTGTTAAAACTGGCTGGGAAAGTAGCAAATTGTGATCACATGATTGCAAGATACTGCAGTCGTCATAAATGCAAATCAACTGATCACATGACTGGGGGTATTACAACAGTCATCAAGGCCATCATAACTTTGAAACAGTTGCAAGTTGAGGAATACCTGTATATATAGAGTCTCTTGTATAGTTATACATTCAAGCCAGAAATAATATTTGTTTACTTATTTTTCACATTTTTAAACCATTCATCTCCCTTATAATTCCTTATATCTCAGTTTATAAATCTTACTGGGAAATAGCAGGAGAGGTGAGACTAGTTACATATTATTTTTGTCTGGATCAAATTAGCATGCATTACTTTATAATGTTATCTCGCCTCATACACTCCAGAAGATAGGCTAAAGATACAGAAGGATCTTGACAAACTTGAACATTGGGCACTATCTAATAAAATGAAAGTCAATGGTGAAAAGAGTAAGGTTCTACATTTAGGCAACAAAAATGAAATGCACAGGTTCAGTATAGGTGGTACCTTGCTCAACAATAGTAACTGTGAAAGGGATCTTGGAGTCCTAGTGGACAACCATTTAAATAGGAGCCAGCAGTGTGCAGCAGCTGCCAAAAAAGCCAACACAGTTCTAGGCTGCATAAACAGGGATAGAATCAAGATCATGTGAAGTGTTAATACCACTTTATAATGCCTTGGTAAGGCCACACTTGGAATACTGCATTCAGTTTTGGTCACCACGATGTAGAAAAGATGTGGAGACTAGAAAGAGAGCAGAGAAGAGCAACAAAGATGATTAGGGGACTGGAAACTAAAACGTATGAAGAACAGTTGCAGGAACTGGGTATGTCTAGTTTAATAGAAAGAAGGACTAGGGGAGACATGATAGCAGTGTTCCAATATCTCAGGGGTTGCCACAAAGAAGAGGGAGTCAAACTATTTTCCAAGGCACCTGAGGGTAGAACAAGAAGCAATGGGTGGAAACTAATCAAGGAGAGAAGCAACTTAGAACTGAGGAGAAATTTCCTGACAGTTAGAACAATTAATCAGTGGAACAGCTTGCCTCCAGAAGTTGTGAATGCCCCAACACTGGAAGTCTTTAAGAAGATGTTGGGTAGCCGTTTGTCTGAAATGGTATAGGATTTCCTGCCTAGGCAGGGGGTTGAACTAGAAGACCTCCAAAGTCCCTTCCAACTCTGCTATTGTATTATTGTATTGTATTGTATATCAGGAACATAATGTAATGAGTACATACACTAGGAACTCGGTGTATTACTGAGTCCTGTAATATTGTTCCATTTAAATGCAATATTTACTATCATTTTTGACTAGAGAGTGTAATTAGAATTATGAAGTAAGTTAGAGTTTCTTCTGCTCTGTTGCACACAAACATCTTTGTGGATCTGACACTGTTTATCTAACAGTGCACTCAATACTGCTTGAGTAGGGGAAATTGCACAAAACAAGTCCAGTGCATCAGCATTTTCATTGTATACTGAGCTGAGTCTCTTCATATGGTCACATCCCCTTTTTAATCCTGGTCCTCATGTTTCTTTCCCAGTCCAGCCTGTTTTTGTGGTGTCCGTTGCTGGTCTCCCTGAGCTTATGTTCCTGTGGTTTGAATGTTTTTCTATGTGGCTCAGTGTATTAAGACCTGCAGAACTTAAGTGGTGGTATTCAATTGGTTCGACAGGACAGTGATCTAGCATTAGTGGTTTGTGGTAAGCAGAGAAGTGATGGCTGCTTTTAAGTTGGAGTTCCTCCCAGAAATGATGGTGGATCATTGCTCCTTGAATGCCAGCCCGATGTAAGTATTTTGTTTTCAAAGTCATCTACATTGATACTGATTGCTTTGAGTTTGTTATTTTGGTTTGGGGGTGGGAAATTTGCTTATTTGAGTTAAAAAAAGCAAATACATGTATTTAGATATTAGAATAAAGCCTGAAATATATTTAGTTAGATCAGTAGTTAGATCAGTATTGGGCAAAATAGCCAATTGTTCCATAGTTGGCTAATTCTAAGGAGGCACATTTTTTTGTAAATATATAGCTAATAGTAATAAAGCTGTACAATTTGGCATGTCATTCTAATCTAGGAAGTAATGCCCTAAATAATGTAAATCTTTATAGCTTGATATTTAGCACATTAAATATGCAATTTAATGTACTATATTTCCTCATACTTTGCTATATTTTAAACCCAAAATTTTGTAAGAATTAATTACTATGGGCAACATAGTTCTCAAAGTATTACAGTTATCTATGATTTATTATTGATGTATTCACTACATTGGAATAAACTGCCTTCAGGTAAGTGTGCTAAGTATGTTGACTTTTTTTCTTCAGATAAACTCTCAGTATGCTTTATGTAAAGTACATTACATAAGTCTTTATCATTACAGAATAATTTCTCTGAATTAATACTTTGACATGGTTGTTTGTGTCCATAGAGCTTTCTAGAATATAAGAGATCAAGTCACTTCCTCACATATATTGAGAAATTCAGTGAAAGAAAAAGAAACACTATGGGAAGGGGAAGAAGAGTTCGAATTAGAGATATATAGGAAATAATTACTTCAGTTGGAAATATTTAGAATGAATCACAGCAGAAATGGAAATGTGTCTATCAACACTTATATCTAAATAAATTGCCTATCAGACAGTACTCAACAATTTATAGATGTATTTAGTTTTACTTGATAATGGCTTAAGGCAGAACTCCTTAGGTATGCATTTTATTTATTCAATTTATAAGGCCGCTGATATCAAACAAGTGACTATGAGTTGTGAACATTATAAAATCAATTAAAACTGAATACAAGCACAATACAAACAAAATAAATACAGCTGCCAAGAAATTACACTCCAATCAGCAAATGGAACCCTTAACAAAAATGGGACCCTTACCAGGTCCCAGTATATCACTGGGTCTTTAAGATCTTACGAAAGGTCAAAAGGGCCAGGGCTAGTCTAATCTCTGAAGGAAGAATGTTCCAGAGGGCATTTTTGTTAAGCTGTCAATGTTAATTGTATGTACCACCATGATTCACTAAAATAGCTCAATTTTTATATTTAATAACAAATGTAGTTGCTTATCCATGTCGTAGAGCTTATCCCATATCTTCATTTAAATAAGAAAGATGCATTTTTTTCTTAAAATATATTTCTTAAGCTTTGAATTAATTAAAAAAACTCATAACAGTACTTTACATTTGTTCATTGAGTATAACAAATTAAGCATTAGATGATAACAGCTGTTAGACAAAATATTGAAAGTCACTAGCATTAAAATTATACTTTAAATCTCACTTGAATTATTATTGTTGTTTTTTTCCCCTGATGGTCAGTAAAGAAGTAGATGTTGACACTTCCCTGGAAATTATGCTGCACTCCTTTGATAAATTTAAAAATTGCCCCATATACATATTCTACTTGTTCTAAACTCCAAATGTTATATATATATTAAAATTATTCTTCAAATGCTTTTAAATACTTAAAATTTAGTATACTTTATTCCTTTGAGGTGACTTTAAAGCAGGGGTTTCAAACTTGATTTCATTTGAGGGCTGCATCATGGTTGTATTTGACCTCAGGGGGCCAGGGTGGCCGTGACCAGTTTGTTCTTGAGCTTGTTTTCAGCTATGATGGCTTTCTGCCAGTGAAATTGGAGCTCGGGAGGGCCGCCTGTGGCCCTCTGAGCTCTATTTTTGCTGGCAGAGGTACCGCGGGCCAGACATTTGCTGTTTCCAGGTCTAGTTGTTTGCTGTTTTCAGGGCCAGATCTAAGCACCCTCCCGGGCCAGATTCGGCCCCCTGGACCTTGAGTTTGACACCTGATTAAAAGCAGCTTGTACTCCACAGCTGGATAAAGTCGTCTCCTTCTTGTACACTGGAGCAAAGAATATAAATACTACCCTTGCTTTTCATTCAGACACTTAATTCTAGAGCAGCTCTTCCCAGAAAAGTAATATCTTTAGGAATGGTCTAAGATGGATGTAGGACCAAGCAGCCATACTTGAAGGCATTTCTCGCTGTCATGCCTTATGTCTTTGTATCTGATGTGTTCTACCATGTATATTTAAGAAAGAAAGCCTAGCACAGTGGAAGCAGTGAAGTAACACTACTCTAAAACATTCTCCCAGGTAGGTATACAAGAGACTTCAGTTGAAGTTCTGATAGCTAGATGGATGGCTTTGGTAGTTCACATTAATCACATGAGGTAAAGGTTGGATTTAAGTAAGAGTGAGTACACAAAGAAAGAATCTCCAGTTCATTCAATTAAAAAAAATCTAAATCATCTCACTGTTTTTTAAATGTAGAATATTGGGATTTACATTACAGTGGGATTGATACATAACATAATTTTCAGCTAAACCTGTTGAAGCACATAATGAAAGCTGAATTGAAAACTATCAGAATTGAGAGCTGTCAAAAAAGGGAATGAATATAGTATAGCCAATTCAAATTTTATTTTTATCTCCAAGGAAAATAAGATAGAAGTTTTAAAAATGTATTTTATCGATTAAAAATCATAATTGCATTAAGGAGACAGCTGTCATCGAAAGCAGTGCAACTCACAATGAGTACTTTAGCATCTTGCTAGCAGCAGCATTTGGGGGAAATCCATTTAGTAGAGCTTATTTTGATTGTTTTAAGGTAATTATTTAAAGTACACCCATTTTTATCATTTTTACCAATTATAAAGTTGATAAAGTAAGAAATGGGTGGTTTACATTTCACAAAGGAATATATGCCCTTATCGAATTTACATGCCTGCATTATACCTCTCAATTTTTTTATCTATTTCCCCAAAAGGAGAAAATCACATAGACTTAGTCATTCAGTGTTCTGTAGGGTCACCACCACAGGTTTATGGCTGAAGGTCAAATCTTTGCAGGTCATTGTATGATTTATAATCAGATGCTTTAACTGTTTTGAAACTATTAAGACTCAGAATAAATGAAACAGTATATCCACAGTCGAAGGTACATCTATTAGGATGTTTATATAAAATTCCCCAAAGTGGAAGAAACTGGATCTCTTAGTAATCAACTTTGTTTACAGTTTGTGTTTGGTATTCTGAACACTATCTTTTTCTGAAATTACAACTGGCATGCCAACTAGTTGATTCCCTTTTTATCATAAACAGACATTTCATGAAGCTAGAAAGCAATGTGGATTCTGTGATTTCCCCCCCCCCCCCATGTTATTCCTAAGTTAAAATCCAAAGTTTCTAGTTTAAAGTCAAAATGTAATATGTTAATTTATAATCATTGAATTTTAAAAATAAGTTGTTATGTTTGCTGAAGCTCAGTTCTGCTTGCATGGTAATCCTTTTTGGGTTCTTAAAAATTTCTTTGGCAGAATCCTCAGACTAAAAGAGGATTCTTTAGGATTTACTCCAGTGGCCATTTCACCAGCATCAACACAATTGCAGGGTGTACAGATAGCCCTCAAATTGCTAGAGTATTTATTATTGGAATTTCTGTCCCTAAGTGATGCAGTTGTAAAGTGCAACATCACATGACTGTATTGCTTAGTAACAGCAATTTCCCTCCAACTACCAAGTCAGTGGAGAAGACAGCAGAAAGTTGAAAGTCCCAGATGGCTTACAGTCAAGGTGACAGATAGGTAAGCAGCTCCTGCTAGGGTAGGAGAATAAGCAAGGGGTGTGTGTGTGTAGTCGGGGAGGCATGATGCTAGTGTGTGGGACTTGAAGTGCTACTGCTCGGTAGCTGAAGGTGACCAGAGGAGATGTGCAAATGGCTAGGGGTGGGGGGCTGCAGTGTAAGTACAATAGGGATTGGGGGAGTGTGCGCCAAGATGCACAAGTGGCAGGGAAGATGCAGTGCAAGTGCAGCAGGGCTTGGGGTGGTTACTGCTGGGTGGGAGAGTGTGCGTGAGTGCAATAAGGCTCAAGAAAAATGGGAGGCCGGCAAGGTGCATGGGTGGAAGAGACTTATCCAAACAACTTGCATCCCTTTTTGTTGGCCTCCCCAATTACTTGTGGTAAGCTGGCAAATTGTGATCCTATGACTATGGAATGTTGCAACTTTTGTGTGAACTGGTTGCCAAGCATTGGGATCACAATTACCTGATTGAAGGGGTGCTAGAAGACCTGGAACTTCAAGGAACAGTCATAACTATCACTTGTTCAGTGCCATTATAACTTTGAACAGTCTCTGAACAAGTGGTCCTTAGCAGAGGACTATAGGGCATATAGAAAGTCTATACAAAATGCCAGGTTTTTGAGATGTAAAATAAGCAGACTAAGATAAACCACTTCAGAATTTTTCCCTCCTTTAATATAACATAGAAGCTGTACAATTGAATTGAAAAACAAACAGAAATCTTTTAGGAGGAAAAATAAAAATGAAAAACGAGAATAATATAGCTGCATAAATATTCACATGCTTCACCTTGGTAGAGATGTGGCTGGGTTCAAAATTAACCAATCACATTCAAATTGATTATAAATACAGGTAGTCCTTGACTTACAACAATTTGTTTAGTGACTGTTCAAAGTTACAACGTCATTGGAAAAAAATGACTTAATGACCACTATTTTTCACAGTGCTTTGCAGCATCCCCATGATCACGTGATCAGAATTCAGATGCTTGGCAACTGGTTCATATTTATGACCATTGCTGTGTCCCAAATTCATGTGATCACCTTTTGCGATCTTCTGGCAAGTGAAATCAGTTGGGAAGCCAGACTCACTTAACAACCCAGGTTACTAACTTAGCAACTGCAATTATTCACTTAACAACTGAGGCAAGAAAATTCGTAAAATGGGGCAAAACTCACTTAACAAATATCTCACTTAACAACATAAATTTTGGGCTCAATTGTAGTCATATGTTGAGAATTACCTGTAGTAGTCAGTACACCTCTTCCATCGTTTAAAGTGACTCTGATGACAACCATATAAATTCAGCTGTTCTAGTAGGATTTGTTTGACATTAACTCAGTTACTTCTTACAGCAAAAGCCATGGTCTGCAAATAGCTTACAAAGGAACAAAGGGTCCTCATTGTTGGAAAGTATCAAGTCAGGAAAAAGGTGGAAAAACTTCCCAAAGCATTGGCTATACCATGGAACACAGTAACGGCAGTCATCAACAAGTGGAGAAAATATGGCACAACAATGGCAAAAAAACTGTGGTCCTTTCAAAATGGATGAAAAAACCCCAAGAAAATTGGTGCAAAAGGATGCCAAGAGACCTGTAGCAACCTTAAAGGAGCTGGAGGAATTTCTGGAAAATACTGAGCATGTACTACATGTGACAACAATATCCCATATTCTTCATGTGTCTGAGTTGTGGGGTACGGTGGCAAGATAGAAGCCTTTTCTTACAAAGAAAATAATAGCAATAGCATTTAGGCTTATATACTGCTTCATTGTGTTGTATAGCCTTTCTAAGCAGTTCACAAAGTCAGCATATTGCCCCAGCAATCTGGGTTCTCATTTTACTGACCTCAGAAGGATGGAAGGTTGAGTCAACCTTTCGCCAGTCAGAATTGAACTCCTGGCAGTCAGCAGTGAGTTAGTTTACAATACTGCATTTTAACCGCTGCACCACCATGGCTCTTGAAAATGCTGACGAGGAAGAGGAATTTTATCTTTCAACATGACAATGATCCAAAACACATCTCGAAATCAACAAAATAATGCTTTCACAAGAAGAAGATAAGTTTTGGAATGGCCCAGCCAGATCCCAGACCTGAACCCTGTTGAAAATCTGTGGAGTGACCTGAAGAGGTGATGTGCACAGGAGTTGACCTCACAATCTGACAAATTTAGAGCACTTTTGCAAGGATGAGTGGGCAAAGATTGCCACGGCAAGATGAGCCATACTGATGGGCTCCTACCCCAAAAACTGCTACCATAAAATCAGTAGGTGCTTCAATGAAGTATTTGTTTAAGGTGTTGCACACTTATGCAATCACATTATTGTAGGTTTTTAAATTATCCCCCCCCCAAAAAAAAGATTTCACTTTGGTTTTCGATGTGTTGCACAGCTTATATGTTATATTAAAGGTGGAAAAAAATCTGAAGTTATTTAGTTTGATTTTTTTTGGCCCCACTATAAGATCTTTCTTGCAACAGTTGTTAAGTGATTCATTGCAGCTGTTAAATGAATAACACAGTTGTAAAATTAATCTGATTTCCCTTTGATTTTGCTTGGTGGCAAAAGGTGTTCACATCATCCCGGGACATTGCAGCCATCCTAAATATGAATCAGTTGCCAAGCACCCGGGTATTGATCACGTGACCATGGGGATGTTGCGGTGGTCGTACATGTGAAAATAGTCATGTCACTTTTTTCAATGCAGTTGTAAATTCGCTAATAAGTCAAGGACTACCTATAGCATGAAAGGCATCAAAAATGATGATAATTAATTCTGAAATTATTGTATCCTCTAATTATTACAGAGGATCATCATTTCATTGTGAAACCCCAAACACAGCCCAGCTTAATAATGCTGCTAAAGTATCAACCATTGAGCAAAGTTGGCGGAAGTCTTCAGTGGATACCTGCACCGAGCAATAGCATTTAGACTTATATACCACTTTACAGTGCTTTATAGCCTCTCTAAGTGGTTTACAGAATTAGCATATTGCCCCCAACAATTTGGGTCCTCACTTTACCCACCTCGAAAGGATGAAAGGCTGCGTCAACCTTGAGTCTGGTGAGATTTGAACTGCTAAATTGCGGGCAGGCAGCAGAAGTAGCCTACAGTACTGCATTCTAACCACTGCCCCACCATGGCTTATATTAACTCAGCAGTTAATATATGTAATGTATTTTCAAAGTAAAATGTGCACTGTCCAGAGATGCAGAGTTGAGCAGTCTTACAAAGAAAGAGGGATAAATTGTGGTTATGGAAATATTCTCCTAATCCTGTTTCTCATACAAAGACTATAAGATACTTTCAACTCTAATTGTAAGAAATTAGATTTGGTATGCTTTTTCTTTTGGCCTGATAAGCCTTCTTTCTCTAGTTCCCCAAAAATTGCAGCTTCAAAGATAGCCATTTCCTTTAAAAACTTCAAAACTTTTTAAGGATAGGCTTCAAAGATAGCCATTTCCTTATATTTTGTAGAGTCGTTTTGGTGTAGTGGTTAAGCTGCTGTCCTAGAATCTAGGAGTCTCTGAATTCTACAATTGCCTTATGGTGTGATAAAAGTCTAATAATAAAAAAATAATAGTCTAAGCAGTAGATAATTTATCTTCCAACAGTAGTGCTGTTATTCAGCATTTCTGTCATCCATACTCTTCAAGCAGAGTATTCTACCAGATTTGTGGTTTTGGTTTCCAACCAATTAGTGGTAGGGTTTTCCCCTCTCTTATATGTCTATAGGTACAGGGCTGCATTCTATGATTCCCTTTTAGGTTTCTGTTTCTAAAAAAAAGATTCCCTTTTAGGTTTCTGCTTCTGTTTCTTTTCTAACTTTTAGGATTCATGCACAGAAATACTGCTACCTTTAATTGAGTCAGCAGACATCATATTTTCATTATTCAGCATTCATCATATTACAAAGCAATCTTTCTGTTCATTCTATTTGATTATTTTTCTTACTCTGTTAATTACCATAGATTAAAAGAATATCAGTTCTTAGATACATTTTGCCAAATCAGAACCATTTTGAGGATGGATCTAATTTAAATCATTTTTCAAGAAGGCTCAGCTTCATGTGATTTATTTACTATGCAAAATCCTATGTTAATTTCTAAAAGTTCTTCCTTATGGTTTGATACAAATCTGCATAATTATTCTTCAGTATCCAGAGGCAATTTCATTTTTAGAAGTACAAGTATATAGAACAACTATATGTTTTTTTCCAGATTAAGTTATATTAAAAAATGGAACTATGAATTGAGTTATTTAAAAAGCAGGTATATACTTTAAAAATAATTATGAGTTGAACCAAATTCTAATTATTTTAAGTTAATTATTTTGAATATTTAAAATCTATTTTTATTTAATATTTTCTAATGATGTACTGGAACAATTATCACTGATTTTTAAATTATAGTACATTGAATTTTAGAGAGCATTTCAGTCACTTTAAAGTATTTATCTTCTTACTTGTTTCAAATGATTATTTATCCCCCCGCCAAAAAAAAAATCATTTATAAACTGCTAAATAAAATTAGAAACTTGCAGGGATATTTAGGAGAAGGCAGAGAGTTATCAGCCAATCACTCTTTTTGTATAGAAAAATATCCTGTTTTTTTTTCTCTTAGCACTTCAAATTTGTGAGTTCTATTTAAATATGTTGAGTTTTAGCAATTTAAACACTGTATATGAACTAGAAGTTTTATTGATTACCTTGCCAGTAAAATCACTTATCACATTTTTCTCATTGACTTATATAGCTCAAAGAAAATGAATGGCACATTGGATCATCCTGACCAACCAGACCTAGATGCTATCAAGATGTTTGTGGGCCAAGTCCCACGGAGTTGGTCTGAAAAAGACTTGCGAGATCTATTTGAACAGTATGGTGCTGTCTATGAAATTAATGTCCTGCGAGACAGAAGCCTAAACCCTCCTCAGAGCAAAGGTGAGAGGTTTTCTTCTTCCCATCAAGTTTTAGAAAGGCAGCATTTGGCTGCACTTTGGGTCAGATAGAGAACCAAATGACTTAATTATTGGCATCATATGTACTGTAGTTTAAATTAGGTTTTATCCAATTGTTTCCATTATTTATACCAACACATAGAGGCATCTACTTGTGTCATTCATTTATTAGTAATAGTAAATTACTGCGGTAATAGTAAATAGTTAATAATAAATTGAACTTTTTAATATTGTTATTCACAATGATATGTGCTAATTACACTTTATAAATAGTGTCCATTTAATATCCAATGAAAATCTACAAGTGGTTTCACAGACTCTTTTATAAGACTGAAAATTATTCTGACCCCCCGTCTAGTTTATAAACTACTAATTTATTAGGAGGACCAAGGACATTATTAAAGTATGCGAGTCATAAATGAAATGTGTAGGCAGTTTATTTCGAGAGCAGATGACTTTTTATTGGACCAATTATACTATAAATTACAGTTTGATGGTCTTATGTAGTAGAATGATAGAATCTGTGTCACTTCAGATGGTGGGGTGTTGGAGTAAAGGTAATATTGGTAATATTAAAAATATAGTAAGGCATCTTGCTGTGGTTTTTATTTGCAGAACATTTGCCCCCCCCCCCGCACAAAATCAGAAGAAATAATTATATAGTTTGTACCAACTCATTGTTAAGCGTAAATTATCAAGACCTAATAAATATATAACATTTTAAATATGCTGTCTGATCTAGAAAGAATTCATCTGCAAAACAAGTTTATTCTCCCATCCCCTGAAGCATTATTACCAGTAGGATATTAAAACTGCTGTAGCATAAGAAAATGCATAGAACAGAGTGAGTTAATAAAGATCCCCTTCCTCCAATAAAATTGGCCGCTTTGTGTAGGACATCTCTGGATCTAACCTAGATTGTTTAAACATCCTCTATAATTAGGTAGTTATATCATACATTCCACCAAAACAGCTTTCAGTCTTATAAAAAAAATGTTTGATCATGTGAAGGCTGCACCTGGAATATATGGCATTTAAATGTGTATTACATGTTTCAAAAAAGTTCAGAATTAGGTTGCTAGAAATACGTGACTTAGATAATTAACTAATATAGTAATTTAGGCTTGACGTGTTTTTTAGTATCTGTTACAGAATGTGTTTATTTCATAGGGTGCTGTTTTGTTACATTTTATACCCGTAAAGCTGCACTAGAAGCACAGAATGCTCTTCATAACATGAAGATCCTCCCAGGGGTATGACAAATTATATTATTTCTTGTTAATTTACTCTGTATCAGCAAATCCTAACTGGAAATACTACATTTTCTGTAGTAGATAATGTGAAATTCTTTGTCCTACTCTTTATTTATGACTTATTTTGTATCCATTTAAATTCAGAATGATGTTTTTACAAATAGAATTATAAATTCCTAACTGTAAAATGTTTCAAATAAATATATTTTGGTATTTTGGGTATGAGTGATGTTTCATAGGATATGCTCAAGACTTTGAATTCGACATTTTTCAAGCTTGAAATGCCCAATTTCAGTTACTAAATAGTTTCAAGCCCCCCTAGAAGATATTTAAGCACAAATAGGACTAATTCATATTCAAAATACTTCATAAATGGACAGAAGAGGCTATTCTAAGCTCGAAATGATTGTTTCATACTGAAAATATTTTGAATTTGTTTTGCATATTCCAAACAGCTTATTTTTAAAAATGTAATCTTCCTCCATTACTTTCTTATCACAGATGCACCATCCCATTCAAATGAAGCCAGCTGACAGTGAAAAGAATAATGGTGAGTGTATGTAAAAAATTGTTTGGCCTTGGTACGTTCTATTACATTGTTGTGGCAACATTCATTGCATTATATGCCAAAATTGCAACTTATGGACACTTAAAAAAAATTAAAGGCTCAGATCCCACCAATGCCATCTATGAAATAAACATCCTCCCAGTTTCATGATATTCTGTTGAAAATCAGAATAAGAGATCCAGACATTTAAATTTCATATTCAAAAGAAGACAGCTTCAAGTTTTAAACACTTTTGAAATAGATTGTTTGAAACTCAAAATTTATGCTTCCACTTCATTGCTTTTTGCACACAGCTCTTCTACTAAACTATGGGAGAATAGATTTTCTGACTCTTGCTACAGACCAGGGGTGTCAAACTCGCATCGTCACGTGACGTATCATGACTTTCCTCCCCTTCACTAAAATGGATGGGCATGGGCAGCATGTGACGCAACTGGCTCGTGGGCCGTGAGTTTGACACCCCTGATCTAGACTGAAGATTCTAGATTTGTAGTGGCAGGGTAAAGAAAGTATTCTTTACACTGCCACTTATGATAATGTTCATTTTGGGGAAACCTATTGGTAAATTTTGCTGGATTGTTCTAGGAAATCAAGGAAACTTACTCAATCACGTAAATAGTCAAGCCACAACCTTTGTTGTTGTTCTTCTCTTAGCCGTGGAAGATAGAAAACTATTCATTGGGATGATCTCAAAGAAGTGCAATGAAAATGATATCAGAATGATGTTTTCCTCTTTTGGTCAAATTGAAGAATGCAGAATTCTACGGGGTCCTGATGGTTTAAGTCGAGGTACACACAGACCTTTTTGCAAGTGATGACTTCCTCTTCAGTCCTCTCTTCCTCCTCCTCCTCCTCTCTCTCCAACCCTCGTCTTCTCCCATCTGCATACACATACATACCCCTCATATTTAATTGGGAAGTTTTAGAAATGTTTCTTTGTTCAGGAGAGAGCTTGGATATACTGCTACTTAATTTTAATTGTATTCCCTTCTCAGGTTGTGCTTTTGTGACTTTTACTACAAGAGGAATGGCACAAACAGCAATCAAAGCAATGCATCAAGCACAGACTATGGAGGTAAAAAAAATATCAATTTTGAGAGACTTTTATATTTGTAACTCAGTATTGCTAATTGTATTCTAAGGACAAGTTAAAGTGTTTTAATTTTTAAAGCCGAAACCTACTATCTGATGAGTTTTATTGACACCCATTAAAGTCAACAAAATTACACCCTTAAAGATACCTTCACTTGAGATTCTTTTCATGTTTAGCTTCCAAGCTGTAGAATGCACTTGGCCTCTCTCTTTACAGTATTGCCAAATGAGTTAATACTTTCCTTCTCAGCCAGATATTTTAGTTTATATTTAAAAGTCTCTTAAAATCCTTTTGGAAACATTTACATCTTTATATATTCAACTATTTTTGAGTTTTTAAGGTGTTTTATTTAATTGTATTGATACCATCTATGGGTATCCAAATCATAAACAGTTGGTTTAAGCTTTCCAGTTACTATGCTAACATCCCTTTGTACGCATGTATGGTATATACCAACACTTCTCTCTAGTTGCATACAAAATAGGAAAGATATATAATATATGATACATGAATCTGCACTGGAATGTGACAGGTTGCTTTAAAAAGAAACAGTTTCTGAATGGATGTTCTTTTTAAAGCAATTATTTAAAGAATGTAAATTGTTAGGATTTTGGAAAGGTGACAAAAGCTACAGCTATGTGAATTGTGTTGCAGGGATGCTCTTCTCCCATCGTAGTGAAATTTGCAGATACTCAGAAGGATAAAGAACAGAAACGAATGGCACAACAACTCCAGCACCAGATGCACCAGATTAGCGCTGCCTCTGTTTGGGGAAACTTGGCTGGACTGAACACACTTGGACCCCAGTACTTGGCAGTGAGTGTGCTTGACAGCTTCTGTTCAGAATTATTTTCTAAATGGTTTAACACACATTTCTTGTTTGCAAGGCTTGTCTTTCTGAGACTCTTGTTATAAGCTCAAAAATTGGTAGTGGTAGTTGTGGTAAGTACAGACAATTGAAATGTTTTTTAGCATTGAAGCCTTGCCATATTTTAGGATTTCTATTGATGCATAAGAATGTGGGGCGTGAGGACTTATGGACTGTATTGTACAACTTTACATTTATATAGCAGAGTTTCCCGCTTTGCGGACCAGTGCTGAGGGGGAAGGGAGGAGGGAATGGTTCCATGCAAGTGGCAGGCAAGCAAATGTGTCCGCCACTTGTGCAAATGGAACATGCATGCATGCACATGTCCGCCATTTTGTGCGGCCCAGTTTTAAAACATTGCACAATGGGCCAGGGATTGGGTGGAGAATAAATAGGGAATTGAAGGTTTATTTTTCCTTTTACTACAGTATCGATATACAATACTCTACCAACTTGTACAGCATCCTGCCATATATACATATATGAAGACATTACTGTTGCCTGTGGATTTGCATTTACAAATCCACAGGCAAACAATTTTCTTGTTTTTTATTTATTTTGCTTCTTCCCAGAATACATTTATGGTATCTGAATAGGGAGGAGTAGGCAGATAGTATTTCATGAGTGTTAGACAACTTTGTAGCCAACATATTTGTGGCACACTAGCCATGAATAAAGGAAGAATATTTCACCTGGAATTGCATGAGAAATTGGATTGTTCCTTTACTAATAGCATCCTTCTTGTTTGGGATCACTGCTGCTTTGTGTGTATTGGTGATATGTGTGGTCAGTAAGAATTGTGCTGGTAGCGGCATTCTGGCTGTGGTGTAGTGCAGTGTCTCCCAGAAGTGGAGCCAGCCCTCATTCTCACTCTTGTTCTGTTTTTGGTGTAATGTCTAGCTTTATTTACAGCTCCTTCAGCAGACAGCAGCTGCTTCCTCTGGGAATTTGAACACACTGGGCAACCTTCACCCAATGGGAGGTAAGTTTCTTTGTCTTCTTTCCGCTTGGCATCTGACAAACAGGGTCAGTATAGCAAAGTGAAAACTGATTGGTGTGCTGTGATATCTTAATGTTATTGAAGACAGATCTTGGGTGTCTCTATAAGAGTTTGGGCACAGATGGTATCAATCACAAGTTTTTAACTTGAATATGAATATGCCGTAGCTGATCTTTTCAAAAATGTAAGCGCTTTTTCTTTAAAATTTGCTATATTCTATTTTTTGGGAACAGGTGCCAATCTGACCTTACTATTTAAAAAGGAATCAAGGAATACTAAAGAAAAATTGTGGGTCAGTTAATCTCACATCTGTTCTGGAGAGGAATGGTTGCAAGTAGTGTTAGAATTTTTTTAAAAAATGTGGGCGACTTACAGAAAAGGAGTCAGCATGACTTTTAGAAAAATTAGTCTTTTTCACTGATTTTCTAAACTATTTTAGGATGTACACAAGTGTGTGAACAAGGTTTTACCTGGATTATAAATAAAGTCTTTTGTACAGAATTATTGTGACCAAGTTTGATAGTGATAACATGTTTATGAGTAATAAAAATGGATTTTAAAGATTTATTTGCCAATACCTTTTTAACTTATTTACATTGAAGTACAAAGGGGTAAAGGGGTACCCACAGTGGGTAAATGGGCTTCAAAATGGCAAATACACTTCAGTATAAATAAATGTAAAATGAAATTGTCACACAAATCCAAACTTCACTTGTATATTTATTAGATCCTAGCTGACAGAGGCTGACAAGAAAAGGGATCTTGATATTACAATGGATAGCTCAGTAAATAAATCAGTCTAATGTGAGCTGCTGTTAAAAAAATGAGTGAATGAATTTCATGCATGGAATCATTAGGAAGAGAATTGAAAATAGAATTATTGATACATACAATAAAGAGCAAAAAAATATCAGTCAATATGATAAAGGAGCTAGATGTCAGCAATTATTTAGAGTTATTTAGCTTGGAAGAAAAGGAGTAAGGGCAGACACGAGGGAAGTATATACATAGCAATAGCACTTAAACTTATATACTGCTTCACCCCATCTTCACCCCAAGCAGTTTACAGAGTCAGCATATTGCCTCCTGCAATCTGGGTCCTCATTTTACCTACCTTGGAAGGATAAATCAACCTTGAGCTCATGATAATTGAATTGCTGAACTGCTGGCAGCTGGCAATCAGCAGAAGTAGCCTGCAGTACTGCATTCTAAGCACTGTGCCATTATATATGCATTCATTGTATAGATAAAATGGAAAGTGATCATATTTTTCCACCTCTCTTACTATTTTAGGACTTAGGATCATTATTCAAACTAAATGAAGTGAGATTCAGAATAGAAGGAAAGCTTTTTTTTAATGGCACATAATTAAACTATTGTGGTAAGGGGAATAATCCGTTAAGAATTGATGATTTTGTTAAAAACAGATTTAATTACCTTATTTGACTCTTGGAGACCTAGCATGATGCCTGCATAAAACATTCCTTCAATATACATATCATGTGTCAAGACATACTTTCTTTAATTTTACTGTGCTGGTATATCTGGTGCTTTTGTCTAATCAACTTCTTCATAAAACTTAATTTAGTTTTGAAGAAAGGATAATTTTTCTATTGAACAAATTCCTATAATTTAGCACTGACCTACTGTTAGTCAATTAAATGTGTAGAATATTTTAAACTATTTTTTAAAATTAAATTATATTAAGGAAGAATTAAAGCTGTATTCTTAAGCTTTTTTATTTGAAAGAAGAATTGGGAGATGAAGGTAATAAAAATAAAAGCTATTTTGAGAGAAGTTAAATAGAGGTAACACAAAATAGTATTACATGAGTTTGATAGATTTATCAGTTATGGAATGTTTTTTTTTAAAGTCATTATTAAAAGAAAAAAGATGGAAATAAGCAAGCAAATGTAGGCCTCAGTTTGATCTTATAAAGTACTTTCCATTGGTTTGGGAACATTTTAAAAAGACAGGTAGTTAATCTCTCTGATAAATTGTTTCCTTTTTCCATTATTGTCTTCTACCTAATATTGATGATAAAATGATAAATACATGACAAATCTGATAATAAATCTTGTTTAAAACAAGGAGGAGTTCTTGTTCAGTGTGGCTTGGTAATAAGACTATTGAACTACTTCCACCACCAAACCCATTTTAGAGTGCTGCTGCTGGGTCCCCCAGTAGTTAATGGTACAGAAAAAGACACACTGCATTGATTGATGTGTTGCAGGGTTGAATGCAATGCAATTGCAGAATCTAGCTGCATTAGCAGCTGCAGCTAGCGCAGCTCAGAATACCCCAAGTGGAACAAATGCACTCAACTCTTCCAATAGTCCATTAAGTGTGCTCACCAGTTCAGGTAAGGGAATTGTTTTATTTATTTATTTGCTGTTTGATTAATTAACCTATTTTTGCCTCTTTGCATATATAACAATAGAACCAGTTACTATGATTCAATTATTAAATCCTGCCCTAATAATAACTGTAATGATAAATAATTACAAAACACATGTTTATTATTGAAAAAACAAGGAAGTGGGTGCTTCTGATTTGCTGAATAGTTATGTGTATACATGCATTCATATTCACAAGGACACAGAGAAAACTTAAATTTCACAAGAGGAAATTTATTGTTTGGTAAATGTAATTGATCCATTTGTTCGATGAACACCACCAAGGTTCTATTACATTCTCTTGGATTTTCTTTGCAGATACATTTTTTAAAAAATTGAGATAGAATTTAGACACATTTGGTTTTTACAGTGACAGTACTTGTACCTTTATACATAGCTTGCTTTAATAATGCTTTTTGAACAAACAGTTGATCTCTCAGATAAATGTAGTAATGGTTTATTTTCATTCAGAAGTTTTTAACTTGAACATCTCAGAAGTGGATGGGGCAGAAAAACTTACCAAGAATAAGCCCTATAATCACAAATGAGGCATCTCTACAAATTTTCACATAAATCACAACAAAGCAGTAGCATATTTCTCTCAACTTGTGGCTTATTGCTGTAAAACAAGGGATAATTTATTTCTAATCATATTTACATATGGAGCGAAAAACAAGCCACACAATTGCTTGGTTTGATATTGGAAACTTTTGCCTGCTGACTGGAACTAAATGATAGTAGTTTTAGATATGGAAGAAAATAAATGAAACTTAAGAAAACCACTAAAATTTAAAATTAAACCTGCCTGTGGTTGGCTGACCTTGCACCTCTTCTTAGATTTTGTTACTGGACTAAGAGTGTGGTATGTATACACATAATATGGAATAGGGTTAATCACTGAGCCATCAGTATTTCGAGATGGCAAAAGAGAAAGAATACTGTAGCTTCGCTCATTCTGTTTAAATAGTAATAAATTCAGTTGAAAGTTAGTAAGGCGCAAATGATTCCAGCTTTCTGGATGAGCATGGATACTACATGGATACTCCAGGGGTTTTTTCTTCCGTTGCAATTTACATCTAGGCAAAAAATAACAGGATTGCTTCTGAATGTTGGTAAAAACTCTTGTTATTTCTTACCTGACTCATACTTTACACAAAAAAAGATGCTGAGACTCTAGAAAGAGTGCAGAGAAGAGGAACAAGAATGATTAGGGGACTGGAAGCTAAAACATACAAAGAACAGTTGCTGAAATGGGGTTGTGTCTAGTTTAGTGAAAAGAAGGTCAGGGGTGAAATGATAGCAGTGTTCCGATATCTCAGGAGTTGCCACAAAGATGAGGGAGTCAAGCTATTCTTCAAAGCACCTGAGGCCGGAAAGCAATGGATGGAAACTAATCAATTGGTGATTGCTGTTCACTTAAAATTCCTTTGGGAAAATAGAAGAAAGAGGAAAGGGAAAGCTTATCCCACTTTCCCTGGCCACTTTCCACTTGATATTTTAGAAGGATCTTGAATGGGCTTTATTTAGGCCTTTCGGAGATCGTACTATCATTTTGATATTGTTGGAAGTTGTTGATGATGTTTTAACTCTCTCATTTTAATAGCAGGTTCGTCACCCAGTTCCAGTAGCAGTTCCTCAGTAAATCCAATGGCTTCTCTTGGAGCGCTACAAACACTGGCAGGGGCTACTGCAGGCCTGAATGTTGGCTCTTTAGCAGGCAAGTTCAGAGCATTATAAGAAAAAATCAGAATCCATCTTTACTTCAAGCCGATGTCTCAATTTCCCTCACTTGATCAATTTTCTTACTTGAAACCTTGTTGTAACAATGATAATTATTCATTATTTTCTGTACAGGAATGGCAGCCTTAAATGGAGGGCTAGGTAGCGGTGGCCTTTCAAATGGCACAGGGAGCACAATGGAGGCCCTAACTCAGGCATACTCTGGGATTCAGCAATATGCTGCTGCCACATTGCCCACACTTTATAACCAGAGTCTTTTAACACAGCAAAGTATTGGTGCAGCAGGAAGTCAGAAGGAAGGTAGGTAGAAGGCAGTGTTGTGAAAGTTTGTTCTTTAGCTATGTCGTACTGAGCTCTAGATGTCATGCTATACTCAAAATGTTCTTCTCCAGTGATACAGAAAGTTACAAGTTACAAATAAAACACGGGATGTGTAGACATTTTATAGTGCATTTTGCAGACATTTTTACAGAGCATTCTGGCTACTCTGAAACATCTAATTCTAAAATTCTGTTAGTTTTATCTTTCACCCAACCAAGAAATTCATTTTTAAAATCGATATGTGCAGTATATTATTTTTAATATTTCCAGACATATTTTTGGACTGTCATTAATTATTTCTTATTTATGAGAAAATGCAGAGTGGGTTTTGCATACAGTATCCTTAATCTGTACAATTGTTTTGAAAGTTATTGGCCAGTGCTATTAACTATTATAAATTGGAGGATTGAAATTGGCAAAATCTTGGTTTAGTGGAGGAAAAAAAAAACATTGTCCTATGGATCATATATTTATTGTGTTTGTATCACATTTTAAATACATGACAACCTTATTGAAACATTAATCTGAATGTGTAGCCTTTAAAATGGAGTGTGTGATGGAGCTTTGCAACTGACTCCATCCTTCTTTTGAATTGTATTAAGGAAGTACAGCCTGATCATTTTATTCAACTTTAGAGCATCACAACTTCCTGAACTGGGTAGAATGTGCCTATGTATTTAATTATCAAGAGTTGTTTATATGTTTCTGTTTTTTGACTGAAACTACAAATAATGATCCTTTATTTTTTTAAAGTATTTTTTATTTTTATTGCTATCCGTTGTTAGTTTGTTTTTTTTAAGAGACCTAGATATCATTTTTAACATTGCAAGATAATTGATTCCTGGAGACAGATTTTTCAGTAATAGTTTTGACAGTAATAGTTTTGACTGTTAAATGTGTTTTTACTTCTCCTTTATTTTCTGTATTAAAATCCAAGACTGGTTTTAATTTCTACTTGTTTTAATTTCCTTCTAAATGAATATTTTAAAGGTCCAGAAGGAGCCAATCTGTTCATCTACCATCTTCCCCAGGAGTTTGGGGACCAAGACCTTCTTCAGATGTTCATGCCTTTTGGGAACGTTGTCTCTGCCAAGGTTTTCATTGACAAGCAGACCAATCTGAGCAAATGTTTTGGTATGTTCTGTTACATTGTTTTTTGTACAAGAGAAGGATATTCGTATCAGAGCAATTGTTTGGAAGGTTCATCCCACCATCTTCCTCTAGTTCTTCCTCTCATCTTCTCCCCTCAGAAAAGAACAATCAACTGATGTATAATGAGCTGGTACAGAAACTTTTATTGTGAAACATTTAAGTCAGTAAGTTGCTGCTCTGCAACTAATTATATGTAAGCAAAAAATTGGCAAATAAGAAAGCAACCCAACTTAAAAGTAGTGTTAACATGATTGCTCAGTCATATATTTAGCAATTGAGCTCACTAAAAATTTCAGGTTTGGATGGCATCTGAAATATTCTAGCTGCTTTTTTCCAAGACATTTATCAGTAGAAGAATTGGCATTTACAGATTATAGTGCTAAAAAGACTCTAACATCTGCTTGTATGTATGAGTCAAGTAGGGAATTGTATTTTTTAAAGTCGTATTCCATCTCATACACTTTATCTGTAGTTACACTAAAAGTTAAGAGTGGCTTTGTATTTTTTAAAAACAGGATGTTGTGATGGTGGTGATGATAAATACTCATATTCTTATCGTCTAACTGCACTTAACTGTGAGTTTTTCTTTTCTTAGGTTTTGTAAGTTATGACAATCCCGTCTCTGCACAAGCTGCCATCCAGTCAATGAATGGATTTCAAATTGGCATGAAGCGACTGAAAGTACAGCTCAAGCGCTCTAAGAATGACAGCAAGCCATATTGAGTGCCCCTCCCCCTGGAACTGGAGTGAGAAGGATCTTCTGGTAAGTTGGGGAGGAGCCCACTTAGGGATTCAAAAACTCTTTAAGGCTGTATTTTTACAGTCACGGAAGCTGATTGATACCATTCTGTCTGGCACATCTTCCCCTGAAGACTCAGCTGCAGCCTCTACTGGGAATTCTGCGGATGGAGGACAACTTTGTGCTTTTGTTTCCAGTGTTTTACTTTGGAGCTTAGGTGCCATATCACTAATTTTTTTAAAAAAAAAAGTTTGCTGTGTTTGTAACTGTGTTTTTGAGAAGGACCAATGCCAGCCACCTTGGAGAGGAAAGGAAAATAGTAAGTGCAATTGGAAGTGACACTGCATGACTTAGATATGAGGAGACCCCAATGATACTCATGAAAAGGGGAAGCGGGAAGCTGAATCCAAATCATGTGGTGGTTGGTTAATGAACAACCCCCAAGGAGCTTTGCCAAGCTATTTGCTAGGTTTATTTAGTAAATGCCTTATGTGAGAACTGTATACAGAATCAGTCAGTTGGAGGATAATAGTTGGGCAAAAATTTTCATGTGGTAAAGGAAAAATGCAGTAATTATAATGCTAAAATACGTTTGTATAGTGCAATGTGTGTGGTTGCAGCTTATAAAAGTATCCAGTGATGTTTTTTGATCAGCTGTTTACACTTTGGACAGAACAACCTTTTTTAAAATTGGGTAATATGAATTAGTGTTTCAATTTCTTGGAAACTACACTTGAAGTTAGTTGGTTTAATGAAGTTATCTACACTTTAGGCTGTAATTCAGGGATTCCTGGATTTAATTTACAATCTTACTACAAATCCAATGTCTCATGATGAAATTTGTTCTTCCCCTGTTCTAGAACTTGTACATAAAGAAATGGTGCTCATAAAGTACAAGTTAAAGTCTCCTTAGTGTTAAACTGACAGATGGTTTTAAAATGAGCTCATATTGCTCTGATTTCTAGCATTCTCTCCCCCCCCCAACTTTGTATAAGTGTGTGTCAAAATAAGACTGGCCCAAAGATTATTTCTTGTTTCTTATATAGATTTATTTTTCACAAAAATTGTCATCTTGTTATATAGCAGTTTTCTTTTGAGCGTGTGCCAGTGCAAAAAAGACTAAATTCAAAGGACTGAATCTGTGCAGAATTTTGATCTGGTCTACATATTGCCTGATCCCAGTGCCTAATAATTAAAAGTCAGATTTCTTCCCCTTCTAATACACATCCTTTTTTTCACATGGGTGTAACTGCCAAAAGCATTACATTTTTATACACACTACACCTGAATCCAAAGGGAATTTTTAACAGTAGGAGTTTGAGCAATGGCGAGAAGTTATGTAAAACCTAGCCCTGAGGCTAGAAAAAGCTAGTCCTATTGTTAGGAAAGTTTACAGTGTTATATATAGATTCAATGTATTGCTACTTTTTGAATATGCTCTTTCTCATTTGTTAAAACATTTTCACAGCACGCCACTCAACCCATCAATTTTGTATTTAGAAACAAGACATTTTAGGGAAGGATGAAAAAAAAATATTTCCAAGGAAGATCCAAAAGCTCATCAAGTTTGAAATGCCACTGGATAAGATAAAACTCAATAGGATATTCAGGCATTTACTAGGGACTGGGTCCCCTTGTTTACTAAAACTGAGGCATTATAATTTGCATAAGGCCACCCATCTGTGATTCAAGTTGTTTTTTCTGATGAATTTGGAATTTCACTGCAGATTTATAACTTGATGAATGGCATAGTAAAGATTAAACAGAATTTATTTAAAAAGCATATACAATGGTGATAAAAAGGTTGAATGGTCAAATTGCCAAATTTTCCATTTGTGCTGGCATGTGGTATCCTTCAGTGTTAAATATTTGGGGTCTAATTTAAAAGCATTTGCATACACTTAGATAACTGTATACCATTTGAAGTTTGTGCACTAGGAGAAGTTGTATCCTGATATTATGAGGATGGGGGAGTGTTGGAGTGCTGAGGGTCCCAGAATTGTCAAGGGATTTTTTAAATAAAAATATACTTTCAGGAAAAAAAAAAGAGGTCATGGTTGGGAGCAATTGCTCCAGTTGCAACCTGATATAACCAAGAATGTTGTTTCTATTTTTATAGAAGTTTTATACTGCTCCAGGGTGGAGAATATTTATTATCTAAATTATTTCACTGGATAAGACCAGGGTTTTGCATAATCCTGAATGTGATTGTGTAACGCATACATAAACAATGTGCATGATTGAAACTACTGACTTTCAGTGGCCTATTTGTAACTAGGCAAACTGCTAAATAGGATAAGAATTAATGCTGTGAACCAGTGGAGGAGGAAAGCTGTGCTCAATTTTTGCTATAGTCACTCCTCCCAGTACTACTACTCTTCTCAGTCACTATTACTAGCTTTTCTAAATACTTTGTCGCTATTTATTCAATGTCCATATACTTTGTAAGTTTTCTGTATGCTTCCATCATGACAACTATGGGGCAACTTTCCTCCCGTTGAACTAGCAACACAATATTTGTGTTATGCTTATCCTATAATGTTTCCTTTCATAAGTATGATCAATGCAAGTGCCCTAATTCTACTGTCAGAGTTACCAAAGTTAAGAATGCAGGTTAAATTCTAAAAGTGATCTTTGGAATAGATTGGCAGAATTCTTGTGCCTTTAGTGGTGCTGTTCTGAATTATTTAAGATAGAATGCTTCAACCAAAATACTTGTTTCTCCTAAATTTCCCTTGATCTGGCCACACAAATGCTTTTCAGATCAAATAATGAAGATTTGTTTCCCAGGGAGATTCCCACTTGGCAAGAAAATGAATCTGGTTTATACAAGGATACACATAGATTCCCCTTTGGAGTTTTGCTTCCACATATCATTTTTATGCATAGCTTGTTACTTGGTCTGCTCCCTCTGCCCAATCTTTGGCAAAAAAATCACTGAAGCCGATCAAATTGGAACATAATCATTTAGTTACTTAATATCATAGTTACTTACATACACATCCTCAGATTAAAATGGTGAATTTGGTCATACATACGCAGAAGGCAGAAATTGGTAAAGAAATTTTAAGTTATACTGAAAATTATATTGAACACCAGAGCCTTAGTATTATTGGGGGAGAGGGTGGATATCTTTAAAATAAAGACGTAGACATCATGGTTTTGCATGTAGCTTTTTACCTATGTATTTTGTTAATTCACATGAATAGATAGATTCTGGGAAAGAGAAAATGTTCTATTAAGGGTTTGGGGTGTGTATTTTATGATAAAAATAATTTTAAACTGTCATTTTAATTCAGCAATTTAACTTTTGTAAACACAAACACACACACACACACCAAGGATAGGAGCAAATGCAATCTTTGCTGGTTCCTTAATTCAAACATATTTAGGCAATTGCACACACCAAGAAAAGATACTGCTTCTTAAAAGAGCAGTTGACAAGTAGAGAGGGGTGTCCAAGCCAGATCTTTGCCATCTTTGGACATGAATGCTGCACATCTCTAGTTGGATCAAAGGTTTTTCTGCCAATGGGAGCCTTCTTGGGTTCATTAAGGATACTCCAGGGGAAGTGACTTTACTAAAGTACTTCTCTTAGTATTACTATCAATTTTATCCAATGAATTAACCAATCCTAGGACATTCAGGGGTATAGGGAATTAGAAAGAGGAAAAAGAGTTAACAAGAATTAATTCCTCCCTTGTTTCAGCTGAAGAAGGGTTGCCCTAGATCCAAAATGTGAACTAACAGAAGGATGGTTTGTTTAAAGATCACTCATTTTGATTCCAAGCCAGTGTTGTTTTTAAGTAAGTTTAAAATTAAATAACATAGTGTAGCTTGACATTTGTTAGAAAAAGTAAATTGCATTCACACAAATGTGTACTTCATTTGTACTATTCAGCTGAAATAGGTCTCTGTATTTCAATCAAAATGTTGTAACATGCATTTATTATAATTAGGATGGAAGTGAGGGCAAATCTAAGAATGATAGTACTTTTTCCAACATTCATATACTGCTTCAGACATTTGCTTATGAACACTATGTTAAGAGAATGCTTAAATGTGTTTGTCCTTGATATTTAGCCCTCTTGTGTTGTGATCCTGTTAGACAGTCTGTTGCTTTGAAAATCTCTTACAAGTCTCTGCAGATTAAAAAAAAAACCCTTCCTTTCAAAACTGGCAGAGGTGACTGTAGAACTTTTGAGAGTCCAGAATTCCTCCTCACAGAATCAAAGAGTAACATTTATGTATTGAAAAGAGTTGCAAAGGAGGGTGGTTGATTTTTTTGCAAGTACCATAGTAAAAAGGGCTCAGCTGCAGCAAGTCTTAACTTGCAGTGAAGTCTTAATTCTTTCCTTTCTGTGGGGACATCAGTTTTACTCACACAGTAAACGTGTTTAATGTCATTTTAATGCCAGAATCTACATACATGTACGTACATACACACACATATGAGTTTCTATTGCCTAAGTATGGTAAGAAGAAGAAAGTGTTAAACTATCAGTGCCCAGTTGCCCAGTGATCTCTGCTTTGTCTCTCACCTGCTATGTGAACTGTCCTACAATTACATTTTATGAAGTCAGGTTCTAGTGGAAGGGATGGGTGCTACCTTCCTCATGAAGACATAGCAGGAACACTGACTTAGAGCTGTGTTGAATGCGCAGCTGTATGCCACTAAGTCAGAGTCCATTCTGTAGCCAGAGTCTAAAGGGAATCCCAGGCCTCTGTTCCATTTAATTTCTGACAATTTTTACATTTATTTGGTGTCTTATGCACTTCAACTTTTACTTGTTCATTGTTGGCATGTGCTGCCCTTCCTTGTCAACTCCCCCCCCTCCCCAAGAGGTCTCATTGTACAGTGCCCATTCCTGTTCCACTCTCTTCTCTCTTTCTCTCTCTGTTTGGATGTACTGTTCTGTGTAACTCAGTAGGTCTCCTTCTTTCTGGTTTGTTTTTTTCTAGATTCCTGCCGTTTGTTCATCGTTGTGCCTAAAGCATGTCGATGTGGCGTTCAAGTACATCGTCCAAATCCTTGTCTCTTCAGCTTCTCTGATGCTTGAACTCTCACCCTTTGACCTTGTGTTGACTTTTGATGCTGATGTGTATTTTTATTATGTTTGTTTCTTCTTTTTTTCCTTCCTTTTTTTTGTGCTGCCAAATTGGTTTTGCTAGAAAGACTGCTGATGGGGAATATTTAAACTTGCATTTGAATATAAAAGAATTCTATTTTTCTAGAACTTCATAAGATAACCACTTGATTTTGTGATTCTGATTCTTTGTAATTGTCTTCAGAGCAGCCTTGCTAGCATACCTCGTGGAGTATTTGTATTTCTGTGAACATACAGCCAATCACTTTCTAGGCTTAGTTTTTTCTGTGTGCTTAGTTTCAACAAAAAATCTTTGAAGGAAAAAGTAAAAGGATGCAACTCAAAGCTTTCAGGAGGTTTCTGGTCACATTTTGCTGAACCTACCTGGCCATGCTTGAGGAGAGAGCATGTGTTTATTGATTTGAGTAGCTTCAGCAGAAAACACTTGAACTACACTTTTTCCTGATTGTAGCTGCATTTTTGCCCTGGCACTTAACTGCTTTTTCCTTCCTGTGTGATTATCAGCCTTTGTCTGCGGTGAGAATTTAATCAAAGTTGGTGTTGTATTTTGTTAAACCTTTGCATGCTTAGTTTTTTGTAACTACAATCTCCTCAGCAAAATGTGACTTTTTGTTTTTGTTTTGTTTTTCTTTTAAAATTTCAAATAATGCCCCTGTAAACGTTTTGCATGTTTCCTGCTGTGTTCTTCACAATCCTGTATATATATATACACCCTTCACCTCTGTTTTCTATAGTTGGTGCAAAAACTGAGCAATTTATTAGGTTTCAAAGCTGTCCTATTTTGGATGCCAGACTTGTGATCATATGTCATGTAAGGACATCTCCTGTGCATTTAGACTGCTTTACACAGTATCTGCACCTTGCTCTATTATCACAGCTATGGAAAGGTCTCAGGGGCTTGATTGCACTGTTCAGATGGTCATGGTGGCAGCGGCAGGGATACAAGTTTAACAGAAAGATGTGGGATGTTCGCGTAATACTGCTTCTGAAATCCAACGGAGCTCAGGCTCTTTTGGGGTAGCCTTAATTTGTACCTCTTGTTTAATATGCGACTTGCTTTGTGAAATTTTAACACCATTAACTCTCAGTGAATGGAAGCTTGATTGCTCTCCAGTTCTTACACTTGAAATAGCATGTCGTATATATCCCATGGAAGGAATCTGTAAGCCTAGGCACAAAACTGCTGGCTCTTTCTCCAAGTGACAAGCACAATATAACAGCGCGTTGGCTGTTACCTGAACAGGGTACCAACCCCGGCTCCTTTTCTCAGGGGCCTTAGCTGGGGGAATCTCCTCTGTGGAGAATTTTTTTAAAAAGTTTTGTTCTTTAATTGGGTTAGGAGACATGCAGTTTTCTTTTTTTCTTTTTCTTTTTCTGGCCTGATGAAGAAATAGGACAGATTATCCTTCTCTGGGAAACATGCTTCAGCTTTGCTGCACATATGATCTGCTTTAGAAGCTGAGATATAGTCCGGGGGCTTCACAGCACCTGAAAAAAGTCCTGTGGTAAGGACTAAGCACAAGGGGCAACGGGGTGGAGGAGAAGCTATGAAGGAATTTTAACAGGAGGAAGGAATGTGAAACAAAACATTTGGAGAGTAGAAACATGTAAGAGACCTATCTAGGCCTTAGGAAGCTTTCACTCTATTGTTGGCAAAAAAAAAAACAGCTGCCAACTCTCTTGCTGGATGGGTAATCTCTCTCCGTATTTGTTCTTCTCTCAACCTGGTGATCAGCATCTCTAAGGATGAGAGTGACTTGAAAGGGGATATATCATTGCATTATTTGGGGTACAGCTGTGAGATGATTGACCTTAGGCTCACAGTCACAATGCACAGGGGTGTCTGATGGCAGGGAAGTCAAGGCCTTGCAGTGTATTAATTAATTTTGCCAATACATTTCTTTATAATGCGCATACAGTTTCATGAGAAACTCTGGAGAATCCTGTGGTAAAAAAAAAAAATCTCTGGAGAAAACCAAAATGCCAAACATTAGATGTTCCTTTCCTTTCTTTCCTTTGATTGTTTTAATAATTCTGTGGTGGTTTTAATGGATTTGAGACAGTAAAGCAGCAGCTGCCTTTTATTTCTAGCTGCTTTTTGTGAATAATTAAAAAAAAGAAAATTTACATTTTGGAAAAAAAAACCTGTGGGCTTTTTTATTGGTACAAACATTGTATTTAACACTAGGGGTTTTGTACAGTTTTTTGCCTTTTCTACTAGAAAACAATGTAAAGTGATTCACAAATGTGACAAGAAAACAAATTGCCACTATGACCAAATGTAGAATCTGTTCTGCAGTTTAACAGGATTTAATCAACTCAAAGTCGTGATTCTGTTGTAGCAATGCTTTTCTTTACCCTGTTTGAACTGTTCCTTTTTCTTGTTTGATTTGCAAAACAAAATGTCTTTTTTGTGTGAAATTGTGTTGTACTCTGTAGAAAAATTATGGATTTTACTTTAGTGGTTAAAAAAGAAGCACATGTTGCTTTTCTGATCACGGAGTTTGTGTAGTGGATTTAAAAAAATGAAAGTTTTGTTACAAGTTTGGAACGAGCGAGTATGTATTAAGGAATTTTCTTCCTTTTGTGTGTGGTTTCTTTTTGTCCCACTGGGGAACTTAAAGCTGTTTTAATTGCACAGACACACAGACAAGAAGTCATTTTGTATATGCCAAGTGTGGTATCTCCCTTTGTTTATTTGCTATTAAACTGTTTGAGAAGAAATTTCTGTGTCATCCTTGTATTTACTTACATAGAACAGGCAAATTGGTATATTGGTTTCCGGGTATTTAAAAAAAGGGTTGCTTAGTCTAAACATGAGAAGATGGAATATATACATCATCTTTTCTGTCACTGGCATGCTGCTTCTCCAAATATAAAAGCTCACCTTTTCCCCCCTCTCTTAATTTAAATTATTTTTCTGAGCATTTCACTTTAAGGTTTGGCTTGGCCAGGATCAGTTTCATCAAATATTTTTCTGGTAGGCAAATATACACACGAGGAATAGTTTATTATACAAAAGTGCTTCTCCATTCAGTTTTCTTCTGCTAAGTTTTATCTTGTTTAAATCACCTTGGGAAAGCTGCCACATTTTTAAAGTATAAAAATAAACAATATAGTCTTTTAGATTCATTCTCCTAATTCCTGCAACTGTATTTGCATCTTGAGTGGCCTTGCAAAACGTCAACCCTTTCTATTATAACTTCATTATAAGTAATTATATTGAATATAGATTATAATTATTTGTACTACAAACAAATCTTAAGGCCTATATTGCAGGGTGCATTTCTTCACATTGTTTTTACTTTTTACCTTATCAAATAAAAGAAGCAAAATCCTACAAGATAAGATTATGAGGTTTAGGTAGAAATTCAATTAAAAGTCAGCTAATTGGCATTCTTTCTTTTTTTTACTTTTACCTTCTAATAAGCACCGAATTCTACCACCTAATAAATACTAATAATTGTTTGGATTCTTCCTTAGATCAAGTTAAAATGAGAAATGTTTNCACTGCCCCGAGGAAAGTGGTGGTCCCAAGCTCTCCCTTTACCGGTAGTTAATCTGTGTAAAATATTTTACGTATACCCCGCCCACTTTTATACCCCGCAGGGGGGCGCTGTGCATGTAAAAAACGCATATAACCCGCGGGTTATATGGGTGAAAATACGGTATCTGTGATCACTACTAATGCTTATGGATCCATTTCTGAGAGGAGATTATCAAATGTGTAACTTAATATCTATTACGTGTTGCTGTATGTAAAGCTCTTGGAGAACATTCCTTATTTTGATCATGTTTTGAACAAGAAACATAACATTTTGCTATTTCTAGGAAAATTCATACTCTCAATATTAATATTGCTTATTTTGGTGTAAATTTGGACAAGTTTACTTACAATAGTCATTTTTCAATCTTCTCACCATTAACTCAAATGAAGTGTGAGGACTTGCCTTATCTTAACAGAGGCTTCAGATATCTAGACTACAGTTTGCCTACTTAGTGGAAACTTGCCATATTGAACTCTCATTACACATTTCAGAATGGGTATATGTATAATGCACATGTGTTTACAGCACTATCGCCAGTTCATTTCTTTAACCAGAAAAAATATAATTAATGGGGTAATCTTATATTCCAACGAGTTCACAGTGTCCGAACACTATATTGGGCTTCTTATAAAAGCAGGTTGAAACCATGGCTTTTTTCACCGTAAGTTTTAAATCAATCATTCTAGGTTATAAGTTGTCATAAACAGTATTCCTTGGTGAATTTATATCTCACCGTTAACGATAGAAAAATCAAAATCAATCAAAACAGCTTAAAAGATTTCACAACTTTAAACAATCATAGCTTTTACCATTTCTGTACAGCCTTTCTGTATCTTTCCTCTCAACCTCTCTCCTTGCTTCTTCTCTTTTCAAGGACTATGAAAAAGCTCTGTTTTTCCCATGCAAGGCAGCAGAGCTGGTGAATGATTATGGAAAGGGCTGGAGTTTAAAGTACCGAGCAATGAGCCAGTTCTACATGGCTGTAGCCTATCGGAAGCTGGGGCGCTTGCCAGATGCTATGGAATGCTGTGAGGTACAACCACGGCTTCTTGGAGTAGGGGGAAGTCTACTGGGTAAAGCTAAAGATTTGGAGGGGGGTGTATGTCAGTTGCATCACTTTCTGAACAAAGTTGATTTGACCACATTGAGTTATGCTTTAATCACTGTTTTGTTTAGACTATTGCAGCAAACAGATTAGTTTTGGGTGTGTCTTGTTGGCTGTACTACAGCCATCTTGCAGCAACTGCATCCACTGTCAATACAGTTGTTTTTTTTGTTATAAAGCCCCATTATGGGGCAAAAAAAATTGAAAGCCACCTTTATCTATAAACATCAGTACACACCACTATTTTTTTAAAATATAAGAACACAGATTCTTTTCTTTGGTGGAAGAAAATGGTTTTTGAACTGCAAAGGAACCCAATAAAACTCCAAAGCAATGGCAAAGTATTTTGACCGTTTGAGGAAGGTTCAGACTACCTCTTCGTTCAACCATTAATTTTGTTGAAACAATTATTTTTTCATTTTCATAATATATAACCACATGTATACTATTACATAACCAACATCGTATTATATTATTAAATGTTTATGCCAATTCATCTTACCATCAACTCCCAAAAACAATTATTGGGTCTTCTGCTCTCCATACACCATATTTGTACCTTATCCATCACTTTCTTCTCCCACTCTCCTCCTCCTCCCTACCTCCTTTCTCCTTCTGTCATCCTTCTCTACTTCCCCTTTCTCCTTCTCCTTTCTCCCCTTTCCACTCCTTCTTTCTCTCCTCCTCCCCTCCTCTCTCCTATGCTTCTCTTTTCCATTACCCCTCTCCTCTACTTCACACTCTTCAAGAGAGAGAGATGTGGTCTTTAATGTGGGTTGCAAACAGGACAAGACCCCCTTTCCTTCACTCAGACACCTGTTTCTTAGGTCACAATTTAGAACTTAGTAGATGATAGAAGTTCACCTTGAGTTCAAATTCTGAAAGCTTGTCTTACTAGGAGTCAATGAAGATTGCGCTTCAGCATGGAGATCGTCCTTTGCAAGCACAGTGCCTGCTCTGCTTTGCTGATATCCACCGCAGCCGTGCAGATGTACAGGTATGACCCTCTCCTATGAAAGAGGCTGCCTGAGGGCAATAGTGCACAGCGACTGACACCTTTTCTTACAACCCAGACAGCTTTTCCCCGCTATGATTCCTCCATGAGCATCATGACTGAGATTGGAAACCGTCTGGGACAAGTTCAGGTGCTGCTTGGTGTAGCCAAGTGCTGGCTGATGCAAAAGGACCTTGACAAGGTCAGTAATAGGCTGCAGTAAGAAACTACAGCCTATTAGATTCATTTGCATTTTTATGAGCCACCAAAATGGGCTCTAAAATGCATGAAGTTTCCCCCCCCCCCCTATCTGTCTTTCTGTCCACAAAGTGACATCCATACCGAGGAAACAAGTATTTGGGTTGTATTCAAAACTGTTTATCCAATGTACCTTTGGATCTGCAAGATGAATAACCCAGTTGTGTGACACACAGTTATCTCTAAACAAAATGAATAAATGGAGTAGTGCTGGGATTCATCATAGACTACCTTAACAAATATGATTCACTCATTGTAATTGAGCATGTAGAAATGATCAACTGAAAGTTGTTTCCCCGTAAGATATGCTGACCCCAGAGCTATATATACATGCTGTTTCCCTTCTGACATTGCAGAAGACACTAACAACCATTGCTTATAAGCAGGCCTTAGGCCCAGAATGAGAACCTGTGGGCTACCCAGCTAGTTTTATGGCCATGTTGTTTTAATGTGGATGAAGAACATTATAATATTTATTAGGGTTATTAACTGTAGCTTGCACACTGCCCAGAGTCTACTGAAAGAATATATATATAAATATAAATAGTTATGTATAATTTGGGTATCATGAGACCTTAACTCTTGGCAATTTAATAAACAAAGACAGTTTTCTTGGAAACATTGTGGAAGTGGTTTGATATTTCTTCTTCCAAGATATTTTTCAAATTCCTAGGGCTGACTCTTTAGTCTAGGGTTGAGAGTGACTGGCACAAAATGACCTATCTGGCTTCTATTCCTGTGACAGGATGAGAACTCACAGTCTCCTTGCTCTTAATCCAGGGTCTTTAATTACTACAGCAAACTGGTTCGTGTGTGCATGTATGTGTACATGTGTATGCGTATAAGGATTTATATATTTTATAGAGTATATACACAAATAATTTTGAATATGTGTAGTATTTAGCTATTATAAAATAAAGGGAGTAAATGTTTCCTAGTGTTCCCAAACTTCCAGGAATTAGGTTGATGCAGTTCTCCCTATCTTGGCATCCTCTGAACCTCAGATACATATCACAGATTCAAGCAAGAAGTTCTTCAGAATCACCACATATTTCAAGACATCATCTTACCATACTTGGCACCTCACCCTCCTCACCTATAAACACTTGATGCCATAGGGCCTGATTACTTGATCGACTACCAAGCTGTGATAGTTTTTGCCTGTCCCATATAATTGGATTGACGGTCCAAATTCCTTTGGTTAAATAATGTTGTCTATCACCACCTAGGAAGCATGCCTTTTTTGTTATAGCACTTACTCTTAAACAGCATCCCTCCTGAGAGCTGCATGGCTCCTGCCCTGATGATGTTCAGGATGTCTTTGAAAACCTGGCTTTTACTCTAGGCCTTGGTTTAGGATAGTTATCAAGTCTTTTTTCCCCTGGATGCACGTGACTTACATTCATACTGTTTTATTGTTGTATTATCTTAATGTTGTAGGCTGCCCAAAATCTTATGGAGTGGACTCAAGTACATATATGTTCTGCTTTCTACAGGCATTAGAAAATGTTGAGAGGGCTCATGAGCTAGCAGAGGGACTAGGAAACAAAGTAAGTTTTTTTAAAAAACGATATCCATGATAAACTATATGTTCTGCTTAATGTGTATTTATCTATGAATGTCATAATTCTGCCTGATAACAAACATCCAGGGTTTTGAAAATGTAATTATGTACCCAAACATTGTTAAATCATTAATAACCCACTAATATCATGAGGGATAAACAGTGATGGCCCATGTTTGTGTTCCAACCCTTTAGACATTGTTGATGAGGTTCTGTCACTCAACAGAAAAATAACTCTCCCGTGAGGGTTACGTAACAGAATGGAAAGCTAGCATCAGATGTTTTGATTCTGGGTGGTGGGGCATCTCCTGCCCCCGTGGAATAATTGCAGCTCCTGACTTTTCTGAATGGTAGGGTATTTAATTATGGCTTTGGAAAGGTGATGTTAGAAAAGATTATACCTTAACCCAAAGATCCTGAAACAATTTGAACCTATGATTGTTGGGGTATCGGGAATATCCACACAAAATTTCTTGCACTGAGAAATCCAAGCTGCAAACTTTCTATGTTGCTAGCACGTGGAACTCTTCAGAAGGGATTGCTTAATGTATAAGATAAAATGGTAAGCAAAGAGTGAAATCACCCATACCCCCCCCCCCCAGAGTACAAATAGGAATGGTAAGAAGCAGAGTTTGGGAAGAGGAGGCAACAGATGGCCAAAGAAAAGAAAGATCTGTCTGACAGTTGGTGAGCTTCTGCCAAGTAAAATAAAAAGCAGCAGAAGGGATGAGAAAAGAACATCACATTTCAAAAGTTTAAAAGATGCAATACTTTGGATAATCGGGAACTAGGAATGAGCTGGAGCCATGGAGTGCATCCTTTCGAATATTCTTCTCATGTGGTTATTTTTCTCTGTCTTCTCTTTTATGCAGCTTTGCCTGCTGAAGATTCATTGCATCTGTGAAGGGATCTATCGCACAAAGGGTCAGCAGAGGGAACTTCGTAATCACGTGGTGAAGTTCCACGAATGCGTTGAAGAAATGGAACTCTACTGTGGCATGTGTGGCGAATCCATTGGTGACAGGAACCATCAGCTCCAGGCATTGCCCTGCTCCCATGTCTTCCATTTAAAGTAAGGGGCAAAAGGGGGAAACGTAAATCATGCTGGAATAAGAGAAAGCAAAAACCATAGAGACAAAAAAAGGGGATGTAATTCCTCCAGAACAAATGAAACGAAGAAGTTCTGTATTGGCATTTATGATATTTTTAACATTCCTTTATACCACTCCATTGAAACAACAATTTATCACTGAAACTTTTATCCTTGAAAGCTGGGATACTTTCCCCAAAATTGATTTTTGATCTCCTACTTAGATTTCCTTCTCAGGAATGCATCATTTTATCAATGTCTTAGCTGGTTTCTTATATCCTTACAGTCCAATTTTAGTGAGTTCTGACTTAGGCATAATATCTGTGTACTGAGAGGTAAATTTTAGCGTGCTGAATCAGGGGAACAAGCTTGAGAGTCAGACTCCCAAAACTCATGGCCCATTGAGCCAAACACACTTATCAGCTGTGGTTACCTGCCAGCAGCCCTGTTTACACTGCCTATCCAAAAATAGACAAATCGGGTATATATTAAGCATGCAGCGGAATGTTCTAACTTGATCAGAAGCTGCATTTAATTAGACATCACAAGTTGTCTAGTCCTGTGCTACACAACATGATTGAATTGAATGTGTGTTGCGATTATTCCCTTCTTTTCCTGGTGCTTTCTCATTCAGTCATGCATTAGAAAGCTGAGACCTAGAAAACTAACAAGTTAGAATTGCAGAGATGTTAACAAATGTGCTTTTCATTTAAAATGTACACTTGAAGAAACAATTCAGCTGAAAACTAACTTAACGCTATTACATGCGTAAAACATGTATATGTAGTATATGCACATATGACAGATATGTACCAGACTAAAATATTTATCTATCAAATTTCTATAACTGCCTCATAAGAAGCGGCATCCTGCAATGAAGATTTAAAACCATAAAACAAGTTAAACTATCATTATTAAAAAGTATAGCACACAAGAGATTAGGTTAGCAAGTGATTCAGCTCAAAAACTCAGTGGCTCCATGAAATACACACACACACACACACACACACACACACACACCAATCACTGGCATTCTTGTGTTACTTGAACATTCAGAATGTGCAGGTTTTTAGAGCCAAGGTGGCGCAGTGGTTAAATGCAACACTGCAGGCTACTTCAGCTGACTGCTAGTTCTGCAGTTCGGCTGTTCAAATCTCACCGGCTCAGGGTTGACTCAGCCTTCCATTCTTCCGAGGTGGGTAAAATGAGGACCCGGATTGTTGNTGCATAGTCCTATTGTTCAATAATGTTTTATCTATAAGGTTAAAGGGCTTGTCCAGGCAGTTGCCAAAACAACACTAATTAGAATTAGAATACATACATACATACATACATACATACATACATACATACATACATACATACATACATACCAATAGCTCTTAGAGTATTATACCACTTCACAATGCTTTACAGCCCTCTCTAAACGGTTTACAGAGTCAGTCTATTGCCCCCAACAATCTGGGTCCTCATTTTACCAACCTCAGAAAGATGGAAGGCTGAGTCAATCCTGAGTCAAAATACATCAATAGGAAATAAAGCAACAGGTTATTTGATGTAATATTATTTAGCTTGCTTACACAATTTTTCTTTCGTCATTTCTAAATTTCATTTAAGTGAAGAAAAAAAACAACCATATCTTTTTCCTTTTTTCCTATGGATTTTTTAAATTAAAAATTGGAGGAACGTTTTCAAAAAGCAGACAGTCAAAAGCATATGCAAATAGGATGTTCCTTAGCATTTGACTGCTTTCCTGAGCCACTTTTTTGCACACAGAACCATTTGGTGGAGTTTAACTTTATAGCAAAAAAACAAGATAGGTTTTGTAGCCCTGAGCCTTGTCTTATCAGAGTAGGTCCAAATTGTCAACTCCAATCTTGATTATGGTCAGAGCCACTAGACATGGCAAAACTATCCAGTTTGATTAGAGAGAGATGAATAATTGCATTTATAAGGGACTGGAAACCCCTTTTGAACTTTTTGCTGGAAAAAATGAACTTGTGATTTATAGGTAGCTTATGGAAAAAAATAAATTATGAAGTAACTTTAAAGAAAAAAAATTAAGATATAAATGCCTTTGTAACTGCTGCCCAAAAGGTCAGAAGCCACTTCTTTATAATCTTTATTTTCTTTTTCTATTTTCTTTTACTTATTCACCATTCTTTCTAATTTTCTTTGTTTCTTTTTTAATGCCTGTACTGGTTTTAATCTTGTTTAAAAAAATCATCAATAAAATTACATGAATTCATTATGGCTGAAGTTTAGGATTAGACTTGTTGCTTCTTAAATCTTACATTCTTTTACTGAAAGTTTGCAGTCATGCAGATTGACACTGCCCGAGAACTGGAGGATCCTGACTACCTTACTGAGAGCTACCTGAATTTGGCACGGAGCAACGAGAAGCTCTGCGAATTCCCGAAAACCATCTCCTATTGTAAGACCTGCCTGAACATGAGAGGTACAACATTGGGCCTGCAACTAAATGGCCAAGTCAATCTCAGCATGGGCAATGCCTACTTTGGCCTCAGTATCTTCCAAAAAGCTCTGGAGTGTTTTGAGAAAGCTCTACGGTACGCACACAACAATGATGACAAGATGCTTGAGTGTCGTGTCTGTTGCAGTCTAGGAAATTTCTACACACACCTCAAAGTGAGTATTGCAGAAATGACAAAAGAACGTAGATCAGAAGTTTAAAAAAATGCAGATGGAAGAAAAGGAAAGGGAGGCATTTTTCCAACTGTCTGGAGGATGGTACAGATGGTAGATTGAACCTAGAGTGCAGAGGTTTCCACCTGTTTTCTTTCTGTGAACCATAACTTTGTGATCTGAAGCTTGTGAGGACATCACATAAATCAGAGCTCAGGTGCATGGTGTTTGGGGAAACAATGCCATTCACAACTCCTCTAAAATGGTATCTCTGGGATGTCAACATTAAAAAAAATGTTTTAATTAGTTAAGACCTGAAATATTGCTAATTTACTTAGTTTCACAACTTTTTAGAATTATGATCTAAAATCTTGAGAAATCAGGGAAAACATGTGAAAATTATTATGTGGCCTTATAATATTATGGAATTTTGGCTATTAATTTAGTGCCCATACAAGGTCCTAGATACAACCCTTTGTAATCTCCTGCCTCAATGGAACTATTGTTTCATATTTAGATAGGGAAAATCTTCCAGAAAAAGTAAGATTGTTGTACCACAGATTGCAATTTTTGGACATGGATATTATTTATTTGTCATAACAAGCTTTATATTGATTAGCTAATGGGGAGATTTAAATAGTCTTTTTTTTTACATTTTGGCCATCTAATTTTATCATTCTATTTTATTAAAGTCTATTTATTTTTGGATATGAAATAAAAGAACACTGAGAAATCACAGTATACATCAGTAATATTTTTCCCTACGATAAAGGAGCCGGATTCTCCCTTCCTGCCATTTGTTCTTTGCCAGGGAATTCAACGCTTTGCCTGCAAGGATCGTGGGAGAAATTGGGGATTTTACGGGGAGAAGGGCTCTGGTTCATCTCAATGGGCAGAAAGTAAGAGGGAGGGACCCTTCTTCCTCCCTCCCTTCCATCTACNACACATATATACATACATACACACACACACACACACATACATACATACATACATACATACATACATACATACATACATACATATTCCTGCTAGAATAATCCCTATAAATGATTTTGGAAATGTTTTAAATGGCTTAATTTTAAATGTATGCGGTGAGTATTTAGTCATCATTGTGCCCTTTGTTGCACCATTACAAAATTCTGCATCATCTGGTTTGTGGTATATTAAACAACAAGATTGAAAAGCTATTTTGAAGTCATTTGTAAGCATGAGTGGAAAACTGAGGAAACACTTGAACAATCAATTTGACATTGAATGAAGTTAAGAATTGTGTAAGAAAGGCCTCTGCTGCTGGTTTCTTATTGTCCCCCTCCCCCTCCCCCACTACATGTTTAAAAATCTAAACCATAGACACGCTTTCAGATTTCCTGTGTTTTTGAATGAAAGGGGATGCTCAGGCAAAGCCAGAACAGGAACACAAGTCCCTTAAAATATAATCTGGTTATTAAATGCGCCTTCATGATTTTTAATTCCAGCCTGAGCTAGTAGGCTGTGCCATTCTTGAATTCTAATAATTTTTAAGAATTAAAAACTTGATTCCACTGAAATATTATATATATATATAAAAACTTTGGGAAGAGGTGGAATTTAGTAGCTATGTGTGTGTATATATATAATATAAATTATATAATTATAATATATAATTTTTTGCATATATAAAATGTCATATATGGCATTTTATCACATACCAACTCTCTAGCCTGGTCCTCGCAACAAAATGAGATAACAGTAAATTGAACTGCAAGTGAAGGAATTTCTGGTTTTTAATTCTGTTCAAATTAAATGAAGTTGGTTACGGTATAATGTTATTATGAGAAGTTTTTTATGAATGCTATCTTTTCTTTAATATAGAGAAGTATTGAAAACAGATTATTTTTAATCTGGGATATAATCTCATGCTGCATATTTAGAGTAGTTGAAAACATTTCTAAGTAGATTATGTTAGAATTAAATGTTTAAAATAGGCAAATTTCACATTCCTAATGGACTCTCGGGGTTGAGCTATATAATGCAAGGGAGTAATACATTCCAAGAGAATTTTTTATCTCTCTCATCTCAAAAATAAAACATTGCAGTAGCTGCTTTAAAGTACTGATTTACACAGGTGTCTTAACTATCTTAGCCCTTCTCTACAGCTACTAATGTTTGAAACTGAAAAGGAGCTGCCAGCTGACATATAAACCAGTTTGATATGCAGAAATCTTTTTTAAAAACCCACATACAGGTGAAGTTTTTTGATTCCTGTAGGTAAACTGCTCTTCCGATAGACTGCAGAAAAAGTTAATAAAAAGTTGAAAATACAGCATTATCACTCACATAAATTTGTGCATAAA